TTCTCTAATTTAATTCAAACATCATCGGAGATGGTTCGTCTAATCCTCTGGACTCTCGTTTGATCAAGTCTGAGGTCCTTCACCACCTCTCCAGTCCGGTTCAGCCACTTAAATGCGTCTGAATTTTTGTGACCCCATGGACTGCAGCATGTTAGACTCGACTGACCAGCACCAACACTAACTCCCAGAGCTTCTTCAAACTCATGTCCCTTGAGTCGGTCATGCCGTCCAACCATCTAATCCTTCTGCCTTCAGTCTTTCCCAGCATCAGGGTCTTGATGATGACCAAGTGAGTTGGTTCTTTGCATCAGGTGGCCAAGGTATTGGAGTTTCAGCTTCAGCATCAGTCCTTCCAATGAACATTCAGGACTGATTTCCTTGAGGATAGACTGGCTGGATCTCCTTGCAGTCCAGGGGCCTCTCAAGTCTTCTCCAACACTGCAGTTCAAAAGCATCAATTCTTTGGTGCTCAGCTTTCTTTAGGTCCAACTCTCACATCCATACATGTCTACTGGAAAAACCACAGCCTTGACTAGATAGCCCTTTGTCAGCAAAGTAATGTCTCTGCTTTTTAATATGCTGTCTAGGTTGTTCACAGTTTTTCTTCAATGGAGTGTGCATCTTTTAATTTCATGGATGCAGTCACCATCTGCAGTAATTTTGGAGCCCCCCAAAAATGAAGTCTGTCACTGTTTCCATTGTTTCTCCATCTATTTGCCATGAAGTGATGGGACCAAATGCCATAATCTTTATTTTTTGAATGTTGAGTTTTAAACTAGATTTTTCACTCTCCTCTTTCACTTTCATTAGGAACTCTTCAGTTCCTCTTTGCTTTCTGCCTTAAGGGTGGTGTCATCTGCATATCTGAGGTTATTGGTATTTCTTCCCAAAATCTTGATTCCACTTGTGCTTTATCCATCCGGTATTTCAAACGATGTACTCTGCATATAAGTTTAAAAAAACAAGGTGACAATATATAGCCTTGACGTACTCCTTTTCCTATTTGGAACCAGTCCGTTGTTTCATGTCCAGTTCTAACTGTTGCCTCTTCACCTGCATACAGATTTCTCAAGAAGCAGGTCAGGTGGTCTGGTATTCCCATCTCTTTAAGAATTTTCCACAGTTTACTGTGATCCACACAGTCAAAGGCTTTGGCATAGTCAATAAAACAGAAGTAGATGTTTTTTTGGAACTTTCTTGCTCTTTTGATGATCCAACAAATGTTGACAATTTGATCTCTGGTTCCTCTGCCTTTTCTAAATCCAGCTTGAACATCTGGAAGTTCCTGGCTCATGTGCTGTTGAAGCCTAGCTTAGAGAATTTTGAGCATTACTTTGCTAGCATGTGAGATGTAGCAATTGTATGGTAGTTTTGAACATTTTTTGGCATTGCCTTTTTTGGGACTGGAATGGAAACTGACATTTCCAGTCCTGTGGCCACTGCTGAGTTTTCCAAATCTGCTGGCATATTGAGTGCAGCACTTTAACAGCATCATCTTTTAAGATTTAAATTGCTCACCTGGAATTCCAGCACCTCTGATAGCTTTGTTGGTAGTGATGCTACCTAAGGCCCACTTGACTTTGGAGGTCTGGCACTAGGTGAGTGATCACACCTTCGTCGTTATCTGGGTCATTAAGATCTTTTTTGTATACTACCTCCTCAGGAATCCACATCCACATGTCCCATTCGGTAAATACAAACTTTGAACTCTCACACTAATGTTTCCACTATTGTTCTTTGGCCTCATTGAGAACTGTACTCTCTCCCACTACTACTCTATTACCTTCTGGTCTTACTCACTACTGGACTCATCATTAGTCCTTCTATTTTTTTTATTTCTCCATGTACCCTAGAATCTATGATTTCAACCACAGTCTTGGCAATAATCTAAAGTAATTTACTTTGTTACCCTTTTTCTATGTGCCGAACTATTCATAGTTGAGCCTAAGTTTTTGTTTTTTATTTAGTAAACACTCATGTGATACTGTGTAAATTATTGCATCTAAGAAGTTCACATTTTTAAGCCATTTATTACAAAGCAATGAGGTGGCACACACAGAGTGTTTCCTGCAAGATAAGCTCACACCATCATACAAATTTGTTATCCCCAACCTAGACTACAGAATTCTTCTGATTCATTGACTCTTTTCTCTATTTTGAGGATGCTCTCTATGGAGAAATCAACCATCATGCTGTGAGAAAGCCAAATTACCCTATAGAGAAAGGCCACAGAGGAAAATAGCTCTCAGCTAGCATTAACTACCAGACATGTGAGTAGAATGAACAAGCCTTCAGATGAGTTTAGCTTGCAAACTTTGGGCTGTCTAGCGGGAGTTCGGAGATAATTGAGCAAAGACAAACCACTCTCACCATGTTTGTCTGAATCTGTGATGCACAAAATTGATAGGTTTTAAATTAATTTATTACACAGCTATAGTCATTGGAACACTACCAATAAAAAGGTTATCACTAAATCCAATGAACACCCTTCAAGTATTAATTTTAATTAATTCATTGAAATGTTTAACTCTGTCAACCAAACCTTCCATATTCAAATATTATCTTTACTTTGTGTGTGTACAACTAGATGGTATACGTGGCACTTGCTTTTTTCTTGTCATTCTTTATAATTTGCCAACAAAATCTCCTCTACCCATTCATTTCCACAGGGCTCTGTCCTAGGCCCTTTCTGGGTAGTGGTCCTCAGTCAGAAGTAAGCAGTTGAGAACAACTACTCTGTATGATATAATTCACTTTCTTGGCTTCAATTATCTCCTATATGCCAATATCGCCTCAATATATACCCAATATATAACCCAGCCCAGACACCTTTTCTGTGCTTCTGACAAATATATCGAACCACTAACAAGCATTAGAAATATACCCCTGGATATTTCACAGATACCATAACTCAAAGGGACCAAAATGCATGTATTACCTTCCCTATCACACCTGCTTTCCCTAATTTTTTCCCCCAGAAATGACATAAACATCTAATACATCTAACTTCCCAATCCAGAAACCTAGTATAAAATTTCACCTCCGTTGTGTCCTTTGGTATCAATCCCCATACCACTGTATAATTTATCATGTTCCATTGACTCCAATTCAGTAATACCCCTCTCTTTATTCCTAATGTCATCTTTCCTTTGTGCAAATCACACTGCCTCTTTACTTAAGTTATTGCAATACTCAGATAATTTTTCTCCCTTTCCACATTGTTCTTTTTCAATTTTCTCCATTTGATAATCAGAATATTTCTATAGTTAAAATTTAAACACGTATTTTCCTGTTTAATGCTTTTTAATTGCTGATAATTTCCCTGAAGATCAAATTCAAATCCCTGGTATTAACAAATATATCTTCAGTCTTATGTTTATTGGTTATATCCTGCAATGTTTACTGCATTTTCTCTCTCACTTCTTAATCTTCAATTCTGTCCTACCATCTATGTATCCTTCCCTCATCCTCTTCTTCAATAAGCCCTTTGCATAGTTAGCTCTGTCTGTTCATACAGTATTAACCCAAAAAGCCTTCTTTACCACATTAAGATATATGTAGCCTCCCTACCTCTATGATCTCATACCAGTCTGTGCTGATCTCTACCACATGTGGGTTTTTACATGTTTACAAGTCCCAAAGGACTTGTAGATCAATGATGGCAAAGACTCTTTTGTTCACAACTGTATACTCAGTGCCTAGCAAAGTTTTATTAAATAAAAGGTGTGGATTAAATGTCTACTACATGGACTTCCTAGGTGGCGCTAGTGGTAAAGAATCTGCCTGCCAACGCAGGAGACACAAGAGATGCAGGTTCAATCCCTGGTATGGGAAAATCCCCTGGAGAAGGAAATGGCAACCCTCTCCAGTATTCATGCCTGAGAAATCCCATGGAGAGAGAAGTTTGGCAGGTTATATATAGTCCATGGAGTCAGAAAGAGTTGTACATTCCCGAGCATGCATGGATGCAAATATATACTAGATTAGTGGTTATTTAATGGACCAAAACTTTCTGTGATAAATATATGAAGATACAGAAAGGTAGTGGGGAAAAACATGGTTAAGGGGCAGATTTTAAGAAAATAGAGATTAAAAGTCTAGACAAAACTTATAATTAGTCAAATGAGAACAGAAAGGATGAAATTTAATGGAAGATCCAATAGCAAGTATATTTAAAGAATAAGATGCTATTGAGAGTTGTATTAATAAATATTAAGGCAAAAGCATCATGTGTCTCCACTGTGACACCTATGTCTCTTCATCAATAGATATAACACGTTTGCAAGAAACTAATAATTCCCTAAGTATTTTATTATTTCATTTTCTATGATGGCAGTAGTCTCAAATAAGGGATTTAATAAGCATTGTTCAATTCTGAAACAGAGTCAAGTAATTATGTAGATAAGTTTAAAGAGTAGGCAGATTGACTATGAACAACACAGCAAAGACATTCTGTAGAATATAGTGAAATTTCAGTTAAATAACTGTAAAGAATATGTATTAAAGTGAAAGATATAGCATGAAATTTCTTATTGGAATCTTGAGGGCTTTTCACTGCCAATAAATATTTTTAATACACAAAATGATGTCTTTCAACAAAAAGCAAGTCTCAACATCTCTTACATATGTAAATAATTAAGCAATATCTGCTCTGGTACTAAGTATTTTCATCCCAGTAAGACTATTTCTCAGAATTTCAGAGTTTAGGAAAATCTCATCTTGAGTTTCTAATGAACCTGACATCTGACATTTATCTTTGTTTTTGTTGATGAAATTGAATTTACATCAAAAGATGCTGTACCATTTTTTTTTTTTTTTGCTGGAAATCTGGTGTTTGAGGCCCACTAGGAAAGAGTAGAATATTTTCTTTTCTGAGTGTTGCTCTGAAGACCTTTTAGGCAATTTATTGATGTCAAGATACAGAACCTTCCTAACTAAATTCATGGCATATGAAACAACACACTTCTTTTTTTTTACTATACCATATTTTTTATCCTTACCTTGTTGTACAAAGGATCCATACACAAACCACATGGAGTTGTAGAGAGTAGTAGAAGTCATCGATCCCATTTGTAATCGTGGAGGATTAAGCCAATTCAAGAGGTAGACCAGTAGACCCACTAGAAGGACTGTGCCAGCAATGCAAGCCCAAAGTGAGAGATCAAATGGTGCAAGACAAGCAAACATATCCACTGTCTTTTCAGCCCTTCGAAGTAGGACTCCCACTGAGTAGTCCATGTAACGTGTTGTAAAGTCCACCACATTCTCACGGTCTGGGGTGATGGTTAAAGCAGAAATTCCTATGTCAGCTCTCTGAGAAATGGAAAGAGAAAGGAATATGTTAGCAGTGTGAAAAACATCTTTATTTGTGGCACTGTAGCTTGTCTTGAGGGAAAAAAATAGATGCCTCAGGCAAATCTTAAGCCTTTTTTATAAAAACTGAAAAGCATAGCAGAGACTTCTTAGAGAATAGCCATATGTGAATTTTGCATTTCCTACTGCAAATCTTAGCTCAGGAGAGTTAGACAAAGTACCTAGTTCATATTATCAGTGCATGTGAAATCAGTGAATATCTCAGACACAGGTAACTACTGAAGAAAACTGTCTTTTTCCCTTGGGTAACTTTATCAAAGCCATCATTAACACAATAGCAAAGATAAAACTTATTCTAAATAATTCTTCCTGAGAAAATATTTCCAAGAAATTCAATATATTATTACTATGTAAATTATTAGGTTATTAAAAACATTCAACATGGCATTTCACCCTTGGTTTAGACTTCTCTGCATCAAAATTTATATTATTAGGTTCTACATACATTAGAGTTATTAGAGCTTTCATGGCACTAAGCTATAGCATCATACACGAGAAGTTTCTACCATAATTTTATTTTTTAAACCTCAGAAACATTTTAGTAAACAATTAAAGATTAAGGAGACAGATACTCTTCTTGGAGCAATAACCATTCTTCTCAGAGTGTGCCTTAGATCCTCAGTATTTAGCACTCAAAATCATAGCATATGCTATTTTGCTTATATAACAAGGCACATAGAATTGCAGTGAAAGCACAGAACAAATGACTTCACATTTAAATTCTATGATGTAAAAAATATTTAAATATCTAAACGATGCTTGTTGTTTGAAATAATGATCTATAGCTGTGACTAAACTTGCAGAAAACTTCTTTCAGACAAACACAAACAATAGTAAATTATTGAACATTTCCACTCTTCTGTTTGTTTAATGAAAGAATACAGAAAGTGGTTTTAATGCTTTTGGAGGAAAAAAGACATGAAAAGTAACATGCCGAGTGGAATGCTAAACCAACTCAGATACATCTAGCTTCTGAAATAATAACAGCTACAAAGATACTTTACCTAAAGTTAAGCTGTGTGTGTGTGTGTGTGTGTGTGTGTGTGTGTGTGTGTATATCAGCTCACCCATATATTTTGGTGCTAGGCCCTGTGCTAAGTATCAGAATAACTTTTCTTACTTAATCCTTACAATGAGTTATGAATTACATGTTTTGCTCTCCATTTCATAGATGAAGAAACTAAAACTTCAAGAGTTTAAGTAACTTATTTCAGTCCTCACAGTTACGAAGTTTTCAGAAGCCAAATATTAAAGCTATGTTTTTCTTACTCCAAAGTCTGTGCTTATAATCATTTTACCATATTGCAAGAAATCATTCATTTGCCAAATGGCTCATATTGTAGGTAATTAGGATAACTAGTTTTAGGAAAATTTTTACTTTAAAAGAGCTTGAAATTTTGCTTTTCTTAATTTTACTATTTATACTGCAACAAGGCTAGATTATCATAAGTACTGTGAATTTAGGCTTATTAACTGAGAAGTATTAAACTTAGTAACACTATATGGAAACGAATTTTCAGAGAAATAGTTATTGCTTTCAAGCTCATGTATTTATTTTGCATTGTTTAGTTACTAGGAATTGGGTTTTTTTCTGAAAGAAATGTAACCTGGATCCTTAGCACTTTAGTCCTATTTTTTCTAAGCTTCAGTTTACCTGTTTGTGAAATAAATATAACTGTCTTTAGTATGACTATCATGAGCTGACTCACATATCCCAACCTCAGTGGTGAATAAGTAACTCCTCATGATTCAATTAAATTCTCAAAAAACACATTTCCTCTCTCAGGATATTAAAGTACTGTGGATCAGTAATTTACGAATTGATACACTAGGGACCCAAAGCACTTTATGAGTCAAAGTAAAAAAAAATTTCTATCTAAGGAGGAATTTGCTGAAAACTTTAATATTTAATATTGATTAAATATTTGTAAATGTTCACAAATATTTCACTGATAAATAACTACATGTTTTACATTTAATGATTATGAATCAGAATAATCACTATACTGATTTTTAATAATAGATACTTGCACATATCACACAGCAAATTTCTGTAATGTAATAAAAATATCTGCAGAACATTGTGCTGTGTTATTATTTTCTTTTGGAGAAGTGAACTGATTCTTTTTGCTAAAATATTTATTAAAAATAATAATTGCTTTTCCTGTTTCTATGAAGAGCTTCCTAAATTCTAGTCTACTGTCAACACTTGGTTATTCTGTGCTCAAGGAGAAATTCCCAGTCACCCTGTGGAGAGAATATTAGAATCATCAAATGGGCTTTTTAAACTGCACAAATGCATTTACAGACACAACACACACCCAAAAACACACAGATTTTTCTGTCTCTGAGATTTGTATACAACTTCCTGAGGAAGTGCCTCACCCCAGACTCGTGAATCAGTAATATTGCAGACCATTGTGTTTGTTATTAGTATGTGATCTTCTGTACTTCTAATAAAGAAGCTGTACTAGAGCGAAAGAAAAAGCAAGAACCACTGACTCAGAAAGATGGTCCTAAAACTTCTTGAAAAGGTCCAAGTAACCAAAAATACTCCAGCAAGCATGCTTTTCTTTCTTTCCTTCTTTGTTTATCGTTTGTCTATGTATTTATGTATCTATGCATGCATGTATGTATGCCTATTTCAACTCACTTGTTCAGTTTCTACAATGAATTTTCATATCTTTAGCCTCTGTTTAATTTTCTCAGTCCTTCTAACACTCAGAAGATGACTTCCACTGCTATTTTACAGAGGACACAGAAGATACTGAACTAAAATTCATACTTATTTCTATTTCTCAATCTATATCCCACATCCAGCCTATCTGATTCATTTAATTTGCTATGAAGAAACTGTCCTATTTAATGCCAACCCTCTATCAATCAATAAACTTAACAACCATTCCCTTCCATTTCAGAGTCTTAAACATCCATTTCTTGGCAATTTGACATTGGCAATCCCCTGGACTTGGGCCCTTTTCTTATTTGAGATCCTCTGCCTCTGCAAGCCCATTCATATCCAATACCCCCATTGATCCCCATCTACACACATGATTTACAAATTTACACTTCTAGATTTAGAGCTGAGCTCTGGAGTCTAGACTGATTTATATAATTACATCATTGATACTTCTATTAGATGTCTCCAAAACACTTCAAATTTAATGTGGCCAAGACCACAACAGAGGTATTCAACTCACATCAGTCCTCTTCCAATGTTCCCTGCTTCACTGAATATCTTTTCACATAAGTCTTAAATCTTGGCAGTCTTTCTGTTGAGCAGATCTCATCCTGTTTCCTACCACAGTTTAAAGGTTTTCTGTGGATTTGTACTGCTTTTAAGAAAGGAGATTAAAATCTTTAACAAAGTCTATACATCTTTGGATAGACTATCCTCCATCTACCTCACCATATTCCTACTGGACCATTTTTGTTTCCAGCACTTCTTTGTGAGACATGATCTTCTTACATGCTGATTATACTGTCTGAATTGATCCTTCTGAAACTTCAAGTGAACTCTTTTTCATATTCATAAATCAGCTCAATTATCACTTCCACAGTGAAGCTATCCGTGGGCTGCTTTGACTGGAATAATAATTCTGTTCTTTACACTATCAGGAGTATCCACTTCCCTAGAGTTATACCAGTTGTAATTTTACCCATATTTGTATGATTTTTGACCAATGAAATTTTCTATTAGACCAAAATTCCTGTGAAGTCAGGGACTGTCACTTTAATACAAAAAAACTGGCATATTCTTGTATCCAGCACACTTATCTGGCATAGATTCATCATCAATAAATTCTTGCTTCATATATGAAGGAAGGTGGAACATTTACTAGATATGCATTAACCAATTCTTATAAGTTTTCTATTTCTCAGCATAACTGACAAAGAGGGGATTTTACAGGATAAAAATAAAATGGTAATATAAGAATGTACTATTTTATAGAAGTGATAGAAGATTTATATCTTAATTATTTAAATAATTAAAATCAGATTCTTGCTTTATCAATATACTTATGTTTATGGTATTTACCATTAGCTAAGGTAGAGTCTACTAGGGCAGGTTCAATATATTACAAATTATTATTATATGTCAAGTGTTTAATGTAAAAGTGCTTATTTGAATTTTGATAAGATCTAGCACTAAAACTATTGTAGAATATATTTTTCAGTTACACAGTTGTAGTATTTACCTTGACAAGATATAGAAGATTTGCATTCTTCTAGTCATATAAAGAGATGGATGGATAATACAATGAAAGTGAAGTAAAAGAGTTAGTTGCTCAGTCATGTCTGACTCTTTGCAACCACATGAACTGTAGCCTGCCAGGCTTCTCTGTCCATGGAATTCCCCAGGCAAGAAAACTGGAGTGGGTAGCCATTCCCTTCTCCAAGGGATCTTCCCAACCCAGGGATTGAACTCAGGTCTCCCACATTGCAGGCAGATGCTCTACTGTCTGAGCCACCTACAAAGCCCTGGATAATACAAGGGATGTGCCTAATAAGCCACAGGATCATTGACTTTCAGAAACTTATACTCAAAGTATTGAAACACATTTACTCTAAATTTAATTTGAAATAAATGAGCATATCCAACAGTCATGTAATTTATGATTGAACATAATGCTGAGGACATTATATTACTAATACCAATAGCTATACATTTATTTAATATTTACTATATATCTAGTGCCATGTTACATGCTCCACATACATTATATTATTTAATATTATAACAAGCTCAATTATGAAGATGAAAAATTTACATTTGAAATATTCTAATTATATAACATATTCATTTTATTATGAACTGATATATACTTCTCTGTATCCTCTATTAAATATGTTTCTGATACATCACATTATAAATCTAAATAAATCTCCCTCTATGACAATTGTTCAAATACTTAGAGAATACTAGCTTATTGTCTACT